GTCACCGATGTCTGCGCTCCTGCAGGGGCTGTTGGCAGGAGCAGCTGCAGCCACTGGGGGCAAGGCTTGGCATCCCTGCAAAGGCAGAAGCTCTGGCTCCTTCCTGGCACGATTTCTTCGTGGAACTCATGACCTGCAGCACAAAAACACCTTGGCTGGGAAGGCTCAGAGGAATCTGGCATTTAATCCCCCTAAATTCGGGAAAGCATGACTTCCCAGTCCTCAACACAAGGAGCTGAAAGAAGTTGCAAACTTCCCAATGTCACTGAGTTGGGAGGACCCAAGAACATCAAGTATTTGGAAGTTTGCTTCCCAGCTCAAACCTGCAACTCATTTGCCTTCATGTGATCCATTGAGAGTCAACTTCCAAACATGAACTGAGGCAAAAAATCTGGTCATTGATTGGTTTGCAAATGGTTTTGTATTAAGGGATAATAATATGAATGTTCAAATCAAGGAAAAGTAAAACTACCCAGAATGATCACACCTGAGGCTAAAATGCATTTCAGAAGAAACATCAACGCCCCCACTCAACATCCCTCCCTCAGCACCTTCCCAGTCAGGAATTTCATCCCAAGCTGATTCTCCAAGGTGTTTCTCCTGAGTTCAGGGAAGCCTGTGGATGATGGGGATAGTACCCAGCTGGCCTTACAATCCATGGTTCCAATAGAACAGTGGTTTTTCCTTGTCATGGGAGGCTCAAAACCCATCCCACACCACCCTCAGCTTCCTCAGTGATAAATATTGGCAGCTGGTGTCTGTGTCACCAAAGTGTCAGGGAAAGCAAGTGGGATCACAGAGGTTTTTCAGGGATCCCAGTCCATGGTTTCCAGTGCAGGATTCCCAAGCAACTGATGTGGCACAAGCAATTTGTGCCCACGCAGGAGTTTGTGCTGGACGTCTCTGGTGCATTTGGTTTCACTTTAGGTCACCTACAGTGACCTTGACCACCTTGCCTGGCTCTGTCTTGGAATGATGACCGTGGAAACGTGAACCAGGCCTTGCATTCCATCTGTGCTGAGCTGCCCCTGGTCCATGGGCTTCAGGTTTCCTAGCAGTGACACAGAGCTGGTTCACACATCCATGGCATTTTCGCACATCTCTGGCAATCCTGCAAGTGTCAGTGCTCTGTTTCCAGCCCTATGGTGTTAGTTTTCTCGTTGATGGAAAAGAGGTGATGGGGGAAATGGCTTCAAAGCTGAATATTCGGGTCTGGATTGATGGGGAACAGAGGGAACCTGCTGGGCAGGATGGAGAAGTGAGGAGGTGAGAGGACATGGCTAGGGAAGGGCTGAGCACACATTTTTCATGGAATCCCAGGACAGTTTGTGTTGGAAGGGACCTTAAAGCTCATCTTGTTCCAGCCCCCTGCCACGGGCGGGGACACCTTCCCCTATGCCAGGTTGCTCCAAGCCCCATCCAACCTGGCCTTGGACACTTCCAGGGATCCAGGGGCAGCCACAGCTTCTCTGGGCAACCTGTGCCAGGGTTTCACCAATTTCCTTTTAATATCCCATCTAACCCTGCCCTCACGCAGCTGGAAGCCATTCCCTGTGTCCTATCCCTCCAGGCCCTTATCCCAAGTCCCTCTCCAGCTCTCCTGGAGCCCCTTTAGGCCCTGGAAGGGGCTCTGAGGTCTCCCAGGAGGCTGGAGTTGTGTTTTAGGCTGCTGTCACCCTCCTCAAGGTATAATGCCATGACATCTTTGAGTCCTTGGAGGCTGCTGCTCTTGCTTCCTTGACAGTAAGCTCTCCCATTTGACCTGGGCTCGTTCCCACATGCCAGCATTGTGTTTATTTTTCCATCCTGCTGTAGCCAAGTTTGTCATTTCATAAACATCCCCCCCCTTCCCCGTCCTGATCCCTGTCCCTTCTGTAAGCCAGGGCAACAGATGGGAGGGCACAGGACCAGGAATTCCTAACACTGCCCAAAGCTGGAAAGGAGGGAACTAGAGATTTTGAGATGAAAAGAAAAAAAAAAATTGATGTCTTTCCAGCTCTGTCTTTGTTCTCTTGTGCCTTCAGGCCCCGATCCCAACACCTCACCTCTGGGAGAAGGAGCCGGTGAGGCTGAGCGTGCCTGGCTGTCCCTAAATCCTCTCTCTCAGAGCACAGCAGAGGTTCTTCCCCTGGTTGGTTGTGAGCTTGGGATCATCCCAGAGCAGCCACAGGGAGCTGACAGCGTCTGACAGGGTGTTGGAGGGAATGGCAGAGGTGTTTGTTGGGGGAAGCAGCTCGTGGTGCAGAGCAACATGCCCTCAGTTCCAGCTTTGTCCCTTCGCTGACCAGGGACCAGCCACGCTCCAGCAGCACCCAAGGAGCAGGAACCTGGTGTTAAACAAGGGGTTGGAGTGGGCAGAAGGTGTTTTTCCATCTTCAGGGCTCTTTGACCTCCTCACGTGTTTTGGCGTGGTGTGAAGCGAGCAATGGAATCCCAGATTGGTTTGGGTCGGGAGGGACCTTAAGGACCATCTTATTCCACCCCCCTACCATGGGCGGGGGCATCTCCCACCAAAATCAACCTGCTCAGGGAAATTCACACCTAATACACGCTCTGGGGTTTGGGATGGATGATCTTTAAGGTCCCTTCCGAGCCTTAACATTCCGTGGTTCTCCCTGGAAGTAAAAGTGGCTGCCAGGAAGTGGCAAAACCAGCAGCCAGGGGCAGAAAAGATGCTGCAGAATTCTTGTCTGATTTATTGTTCCATGTAGATTAGGTCAAGGGTAATCTGCTGCTTTTGCTAATCCTGGAGAGGTTAAATTGTATCAGGACTTCTGAAAGCAGAGTAAAGAAGAAAACAGCAGGACTTACAAAAATAGCATCCATTTAAGTTACGTAAATCCTTATAAATACAAGAGAGAAATCAGTTATTCTATAAAAAATAAACCAGAGCATGTGTTCTTGAAGCACCAGCACTGCATCCTCATGTTAGGGACTTCAGCTACAGAGTCCTTATAAATATACCTGCAAAATTCCTCTTCGTTCTGACCATAAACAGGGATCAGAATGTGCCCATTTGCATTTTGCACAGCAACAGAAGGTCTGGAACTTGAATCTCAGCTGGCCATTTGATTTTTGTCAACCTCAACGTGCCCCACCCCTCTGCAAAACACCTCTCAGGGGCACACAGATGCCGTTGCCATCCTCAAAGCTCTTCAGCAAGAGTTGAAGCAGTTTGGGTGGGGGGTTGTGTGTGACGCTGTCACTGCTTTCTGCCTGTACATTTAATTTTTGTTTGATTCAGAAGAAGTGAAAAGGAGGGAGAAAACTCAGCCTTAAAGGGGCAGCACTGAGGGTCTGTGCACTTGAAGGTACCACTCAGAAGTAAGAGAATGGCCTTTGCTGGGCTCTTTGCAGTTGTCTGAGTGGTGTTGGAGTGACTAATTCATGGTGTTCCTCGAGATGTTTGTATATTGTTGTTAATAATAATTTCCACAGTCACAAATTATGATTATACTACACCTGCCTGAACAGAGAAACACTCACATATATATTTGTGTATAATATATATATTTTTTATTATTATTTTTTCCCCAGTTGTGACTCTCCCGTGCCTGTAGCTGGCAACAACCATGTCATCCCCAGGGGACAGATGGGTTTCCTCCTTTGTTTTCCTGCTCCTCTGCGCTTCCTCCATCCCAAGGCCGGGAATGGCAGGGCTGAGGCGGGAGCCGAGCCCTCAGCGCTACTTCAGTGCCTTGGAAGCTGGACGAGCATCCCTGGCTTTTTTCACCCCTCATGGTAAGTGTTTGGTGGTGGGCTCTGACATCAGCCTGGGGGGGCTCAGCAAGGCTCGGGTGGAAGTGGAACAATCTCAGAATCGTGGCAAGGTTTGGGTTGGAAGGGAGCTTAAAGCTCATCCAGTTCCAACCCCGTGCCGTGGGCAGGGACACCTTCCACTAGCCCAGGTTGCTCCAAGCCCTGTCCAACCTGGCCTGGAACATTTCCAGGGATCCAGGGGCAGCCACAGCTTCTCTGGGCAACCTGTGCCAGGGCCCCACCACCCTCACAGAGAAGAATTCCTTCCCACTATCCCGTCTAACCCTGCCCTCTGGCAGTGGGAAACCATTCCCCCTTGTCCTGTCCCTGTAAATAGTCTCTTTCCACTTTTCTTTTTTCTCCTTCAGGTACTGGAAGGCCACAATTAGGTCACCCTAGAGCCTTCTCTTTTCCAGGCTGAACAATCCCAGTTCTCTGGGCCTTTCCTCAGGGAGAGGTGCTCCATCCTTCCGATCCCCCTGTGGCCCTCCTCAGTGAAGAGGCAATTCCTGAGATTTTTAATCCCAGAGGGACTGGTCGAGCTCAGTGTTT